TTCACCCTGCTGATTGTTATTTACAATTCAATTTTAGCCATATTGTGTCACTTGAAAATTAAGCATGATCTGAGTAGTAGGGAGCAGTAAATACATCCAACGATAAAATTATGTATGTATTTTGTTAAATATATGCAGAATATATGAGTGCTGATAATATTTTGGAAAAGGACTGTTTTATTATTTTTAGAGCTTTATTCCAAAGTAAGATTTACACCATTTTCAGTCTTTTTTTTATGACTCTGACATCTGACAGGTTATAATCAGGTTACAGATTATTGGTGAAGAATTGAAGTGTAGTTTAAGTAATAAGCACTGGAAAATCTTTGCTCACTTCGAATATTTTTAATTGCAAAGCAATAAACATCAGTTTTTTGAAGATGGGTATGTGGCTTCAGGTAGAGCAGGGGAGGTAGTGAGAGGAGGCGCAACATCAGAGAGGTCCTTCAATTAAGATCAAACAGCTTTTTTTAAGTACGGGTCAGAGTGTCTGAGGTTTGCTGACAAAAAAGGGAGCGCGACTAATTCTAGCGCTCATGGTAATCATGTTTTTGATCAGACATCTGTGATTTAATTTAGAAATGGAGGCGAGGCTATTTTTGATCCGTTTCCTCTTGAAAATCCTTTTGATTATAAACATCACAACAACATTTGAACATGGGCTGCTCTGATGACATTGCCATGTTAGGTAAATCTGTTGCCCTCACATTATCAACAATATTAGCAATGAATAGTCATCAGTTAGCGCCTCTCACTTTACATCTGATTATAAGCCATGGAGCAACACTTTAAAATGTGGAAACATTTGATGTAATGCCATGATATTTAAATTTGTATGTAGTGTACACTGTACACTGAAGAATATACTTCGCTTACTACACAAAACATACCCATTATTATGACATTTTTTATTTGTTACACTCCACCAGCACCCTTCATGACCCGGTAACCTTTCACCAAACATTCTTCAATGAATCTCAGGATCTCACAGAATATACAACAGCTCTTCTTTCCTAATATCTCATAGAGACAACGTTGGCATTGTTGCCTCACTATTATCACTGGGGCACTGTCACGTAACTCCCACCGCCCCCTCATTATCACGGCGGCTAGTTTCTGCTTTGCTGCGCTCTGCCACCCAGGCCTAACCACCCACTCATCTCCCATTGCACAAAAAACCCTGGCTGGCAGCATGCCATCATCACATTCCCGCCACTACTGACCGCGGTTACTGTGAGCCATGACCCCTGACATTCCACAGAGCTTAGCAGAGATGATTTTATCTCAGAAATGTCCCTTCAAATAATGAGGTTCTTGTTTTAGATATCATGCTTTAACTCTATGTGCCTTGAAAGTATTAATCTCCTGTTACACTTATTTTGGCATTACTGGCACAGTATCCCCACAGAGTGTCTGTCTAATTTGCTGCAAGTAACATTTGATTAAGTGAACTAGTCACTGTAGATATGCATGTTCTCATGATTTTGCATGTTCTTCTGTATACCTGATAGTGTAAATAGCAAACAATTTGTAATAGTTTTACATGCTTATAACTTGTGTATTTCTTTTAAGATATTTTATTTTATATATTTTTGCATAATTTTCCTATAAGCACATTGTGACTTCTTTGAATACTCTTTATTTGCCTAGTTCTCTGCTGCTGCTGCTGCTGCAGGGATTGTTAGTTTCAGTGTGTGCGCTTTCATGTGTTTGAATATGCTTGTGTGTGTGCATTGATTTGACGCTGAGGCTAGCCGGGGTACCCTTCCTGTTAAATGTTTGATTGCATACAAACTTCCTGGCGGAGGGGGGAGAGCAGAGGGATGGAGGACTGCATCTGCTGAGCGTAAAAATGAGCTGAGCAGATGTTGGCCAGATGTGGCCAAGGAGATGGGGGTTGGAAGTCTAACGAGAGAGGAAAATAAAATGAGCAGAGATAGCAAGAGCGACTCACCATGCACACACTGACAGCTTTGTTCACCTCTACTCAGGAGTTAAGAGTAACTCTGCCTCGTTCTTTCTTTAGACACACACTCATACACTCCTTCTCTCCTCCCTCCATCCCTCCTTCTCCTGCCTCCCTCCACATTCTCTTTGAAGTGAGGACCGTGCACAGGAAGCAAGCCAGAATCAATTGCTCCATGCATTAGGCCAGGAATGTGTGACGCCCTCCTCCTCTTCACCCTCCTCATCCTTCCTCCTCAATCCTCTTGACACATCCTTCATTTATTTCCCCCCTTCCGCTCCTCTTCATGCACTCTATACACCACTCACCCCCATCCACCTTTCACAGAAGACCCTACTATTATTTTGGGCGAAAGCCCAACTTTTCTTCACTTGTTGCTGTTTATATGTAGAGTTTAGACACTGATCTGTGTACAGCTCTTCAAAGTGTCATGATTTGTGCTGTTTTTGAGAGTGAATGAGTGCTGATCTGAAGCTGAAACATTGGCCATGGGAAATTATGATGGGACATTTTAACTACTTTCTGACATTTTATAGACCAAACAATTAAGTGTATAATCAAACCCAGATTAAAGTATTAATGGGAATGGTCATTACTTACAGTCTGTATTCATATTGGGAAAAACAATGCAAAGGAGTTAAAGGCTATTGTAAGAACCAGTTGTGTATCTCCTTTTGCCCCACTTAACTACTACTTTTTGTAACTATAGCAGACTTTTGTCTGTCAATCAGTTTCAGTAATTACTCTTAGACTCTTGAATTTAATTTGTGAGTTTTGTTTTGTTTGACTTTACTGATACAAAAGTTCCAGATCACTTCACTTGCTTGCCATACTAGTTGGAAACTCAGTTAAGTCAGTCAAAGTTGTAGCTGAAGTCTTGAAAGTGTCTAGAAAGTATCTAATTTAAATTGCAAACTCCCAAGTGTTGTTAGCTACTGTTGTGCACTGTTTAAATGTGAAGTCATGCTCAGTTGTCTCTGCCCAGATAAATGATGAACGAGGAAAATGTGTCCTTGGTTAAACTGAACATAATGTTCTCTCTTTCTTCAGTCTCCCTTGCCATGTGTTTTTTCTTAACTCATGAGAAGGAAAATCATTTTGTCAAGAACATTCTCAATAAAAGTAAAGGTCAAATAAAAATGAAGTAGCTTTCTCTGTTTTGTTCCGTGGCTATAGCTCTCCCTGCCTTAGAGTGCAGATAACCTTGTGAACTTGTTTTTAACCAGTAAGTCAGTCACAGAGTCTGTCGTTCAGTCATTCAGCTGTGTGAGTCATCCACCTCCTTCAGTCTGCCAAGTTACAACAGGCTCAAGGCCTACTCCACTGACAGAACAATGAGACAGAAAGGATGTTGGCTAATCCGGCATAGCATTATGTATCACTGTTACACATTAACCAGGCTAATTAATTCCCCCTCCCACTTTGATTCCTGTACATTACAAACAAGGCAGTAAGGCAAGCTAGACACAGTGTGTTAGCATTATTAACACCTGAAACTTCAATTCAATGAAGTGCTTACACTTAAATTCAAATTTCAACTCGAACAAGTGCTTACACTTCAACTGAGATTTCCATTTGTCTCAGAGATCATACTTCTACCTTCACTTTAACTCTTTTGAGTACCTTCACCTCAACAAGTTCAGCTCCATTCAGTGCTTACACTGACATTGTAACTCCTTTTAATGTCTTCCTTCATTTTAGATCAGTTGCGCTCTTCAATTATATGCAATGTTTATACTCTACTTGGTTAGACATCAACTGACCTTTGAAGCCCTTTCAGACCTCTTTTTAGCAGCTGTACTTAAACTGAAACTTAAAATACATTTCTGTCTGAGTCTCATAGGGCTGCAACTAACGACTAATTTGATTATTCTATCGATTATTGAAACGAATAATAATAATTGACTATTCGGATTACGAATCACAAAATTACACAGTGCCTCTCATTTAGCTATCAGCTTTTAAATAAACTTGAGTTTGTTTTAGGCATGTGCTAATTAACAATCAAGACAAAGAAATTAAAACTGCTTTCAAAAATACATCTTTTAATGAACGTTTCTGCTGCAGCAATAGAAAGTTCTGCTGAAATCCAGTCCTTTCATGGACCAAACAGGTATTCAGTGAGAAATAACTGTGTGTGCGCAGCGCCAGTACTGCAACACACCGGACAAACTGACTCTATATTTATACAAAGAAAATAATAATTTCATGTGTCACATTTGCCAGATTTGTAACCCAACAACTCACAAAACTCTTGGGCGGATGAGCCACCATCTTGGCATAAACATGAGAACTGTTTTTATTTTTCTTTAAAAAGTATAAACTTATCCGGTGTTGTGTAATCTTCTGCACTCGGAAGCAACACATTCTACAGCTGCCATGAGCGACGCATCATTTAGGCCACATCTGCAGTGTGAACAGGTCGTTGTGTAATTCATAATTATTTGCTACTCCCAACGCCATTAACAATCAATTAATTGACCAAGGGAAACTGGCCCGATGACGTCATGATCGTTGGCAACGAATTTAATAATTGATTTTTTTTTCTATGCCGATTAGTTGTTGCACCTCTATAGTCACACCATCTTCTTTCAGTTTTCCAACTTCAGTTACCCCATCAATCCCTTCACCTTTCAGTTGTTAAACACATTTCAAAAGCTTCAAAGAAACAACATTTTAAGATATTTAAGCTGTTTCAACTGCGGTTTTATAGTGTGAGCGAGCACACTAAAAACATTTTCAGAATAATTTTGCCTTTTCAAGTCCTTTCTCACTGTTTGCTTCCTATACATTTTCAGCAAAGTGCTGAAACAGGCTGGACACTTAGGGTCGCCTCTAATCGGGTATTATTTTGAGAACCCATTGTGTGGTTTCTTATGGAATAAAATTAATTTGATGAGGGTGGAAATCATGGCAGACCTGAGCAGAGCGCTTAGATAAAAGAAAACACTTACACAAACATTGGAGAACACAATGTACTGTAAATCCATCAGCTGAAGACTAGTCTTTCTTTCTCTCTGATTTTAATCTCCAGTTATTAAATGGCCGGGCACACTTGAACAGTCACCACTCGAGCGGTTTTCCCCGGTGTCACGTGGGCAGTTCAAGAGTGGAAGGATGGATGAGAGAGGAAAGTGCCGGTAGGGCAGGTGCAACTGCTGGGAGCCAGAGTGGGGCCAGCAGGAGAGGAAGAGGAAGGAGAGAGGAAGAGGATAGAGGGCAGACGCACCCACTGGAAGTTCTCTCCGGTCATCCATCGAGTCTGGACTCTACCCTGCGGCACATTGTCCAACAGTTGGATATTCTCACTCAGGTCAGTTATTAGTTAAACTGTCAACTCAAGATACTGGCAGGATGTGAAATTCCTAAAAAATGATAAGAAATGAAAATGAAAGTGTGGGAGGTGGGCAAACAGGTCCCTGTAGAAATTTAATAATCCTCCATCTGAAGGGTTTAATTCCTTTGTTTTAATAAGAAAGTAGGTTGAAGCAGGTTTTCAATAAATTTTTTATCTGAGGCCAATAAAGACATAAAAAAACAAATACAGAAGCCACTATAAGTAAGTTTTATGGTTTACCTATTACTTTCTGCACCTCTTTGACGGGTTTCCCTAGTAGCTGGGGCAGTGTTTGGAGGTGACTGGAGGATTTATGTGTTCAATTTATTTATTAACTTTTTATGTTCTTTCTGTCTTTAAACAGCCATACACAACAAGCTTGAGAGGAAGAAAACAAATCATGAATTGGCAAAAAAAAATAAATGACGAGTATACAATGCAAAGTATTTTGTTTATACAGAGTGCAGAGCAACTATTGTACCACTGAATTTGACATACATTCAAAAAGTGCTGATGCTCTGTCTTATTGTTTCCCCATTTTACATCTTATATATTCAGCAAGCTGAATACACAGCAAGCACAAAATGTACGCACAGAAATGAAAACTCATCAGAAAGTATGTACATATTTTGAGTTTACTGTGCATTTTCCCACAAAATCACCTCCAGAAAGTGCAAGATCACACCAATTTGCTGCTGTAAATATTTGGTATTTGAAACAAAGTGGCTGACCATAAGAAATGTTTGGTGCGTTTTCTGCTTCCTAGCTTTAAAAGGTGATAATTTATTGAAATGCATTTTAAAAAAGGCTTTTACACTCTTGTAGAATTTTATAATTAGAACGTTGCTGATGAGCTACTCTCAGCATCAAGGCCAAAATGTGGTTGCACGAGAAAACACCCTGACTTGTCACAAAAACTAAAAAGCATTTTCTGTCTCTCTTTAGCTCTTATCTTATTTTTCCATAATGATGACAGGGTTGATGTGAAAGTACTCAATGACTTTATAGCTTTATAATTATTGTACCCCCATTCCCTCCCACCCCGCCTCAAACACACAGACTGTTTCAGTGCTGGAGGAGCGTCTCACCCTGACTGAGGACAAGGTGAAGGAGTGTCTCATCCACCAAACCGAGATTCTTAAAGACATGCGATCATCAGGGGAGAGGCGGAGCACAGAGAGTGAGGGGACCGATGGATCACCTGTCCAATTCACTTGAGCACGGCCTTGCCCTCCTTCAGACTGTAGCACAAACACACAGGCTGAGTTATATTGCTTAACCACAAGACTGCTGGACACGAGTGTGTGTGTAGGTGTTTGTAGGTGTGTTTATGCATGTGCGTGTGTCTATGTACGTTTGTGTCTATGTACGTGTGTGTACACCTTGGTGGTCTCTCTCAGGGTCAGTAGGTTAATCAGGATTTGGGTTGGGGTTAAAGTGAGTTTTTGTGTGTGTGTGTGTGTGTGTGTGTGTGTGTGTGTAAAACCAGCATATTTTCTTCATGTCTTTCTTCACCTCTTAAGGATATCCAGCTGTACAGCCAAGCACAGTCTGGCTGGGACATTCCTGTGTGTGTGTGTGTGTGTGTGTGTGTGTGTGGATGTGGATGTTATGTCCAATCGGGACAGCTGCAGCTATGAAAACAGACGGTGCTTGTATGCCGTATGACCTCTCTATATGTGTGTGTATTTACATGTGTATGTTTGTGTTTTAGCACATGTTTTAGCAGTTGGTTGCTTATGCAATAACATTGTAATCTGTTTGCATCTTTATATAATGCTATGTCATTTTTAAACCAAGTCATGCTGCATAAAGCTTCAAATACACATCAAATTATATATGAATAAATGATATTCTATATTGCACTAATGTTATTTGTATTGTCTGAATCTACATGTCCAGACAAAGGATGAAAACCCCTTACATTCAGTATTTTCTTTTGATAAGAACTCACAGTGTGGGTGAAGATATCTACAATCTGAATTTAAGCCTTTTAATTTTGAGCACAATGAAATTGCATGCTCGTAATTCCTTTATTTTAAACCCTACTCTTATGTTCATCTCTTATCTTTTTTATAGATAAAAAAAATCACTGCTGTTCACAGCCCAATATCCTGATAGGTCATACCAGTTAACAAATATTCATTTTGAACTGGTCACCATATGAATCCCAATAGTTACAGGAACATTTGAAAATAGGATATTATGTCAATATTCGATACTGTAATAGTAAGTGTATATCTCAGGGTACATTCTGTACTCATGGTACAGTCAGAATTATGAGATAGTAGGCAATTGTTCGAACTTAGTATCTCATAAAATATACAAACATTAAGATTAACTTAATATATCATAACTATGACCTGGTAAATCAAGCTTTTTACTTATAATTTTGACTAAGTGTCTCATAATTGACATGGAAGGTCAAGGACAACATTGTCACTTACTATCTTGACTTAATATGTGCTTTTTTTTAACATACTGTAGTGTCCCTTAACTTGTGATTTACCCTAAGTAGATTAATTTTCAACATCCATAACTCATCTTCTGTCCTCCTGTTTTGCTGGCTTCCATACATACAGCCATGTATGTGTTGCTTGTTATCTGGTAAAACCTGCTCATGTGATACGTGTCATTTTGCTTCTTGTGTACCAGTGGCTGTAAATGTTTTGGCTTGCTCTCCTCAGCATGGAGACTTAAGCTGTTTATGTTTTTCCAGCGGCAGAGATGTGGTGAGCGATGCAGCAGGGTCGGGAGGAAGCTGTAAAAAAGCCACACAAACGGGGAGCTCTCCGCTGGCTGCTGTTTGCTCTCCCCACCACATCCTTTGCTTCCTCTCTGGCTTTACTGGTTTTCCTCCTGCATCCTTTTCTCTGTTCCAGTTACATAAAGTGGTGTGGCCTGCTGAAACACGGAACCAAATCTAGTCCCCGCCCCCCAATCAGAGAGACTGTTAGAATGGGGGAAGACTTGGGCTTTCAATGCAGCGTGAAATGACAGGACGGGAGGATAAATGGATGAAGTACAAAAACAGAAATGAATTTCAAAAGAAAAATCTAAATGTCTTTTGACCAACATCTGCTTCTTTCCACATGTCTTATATCCACACATTTGTTTTATAAAGCACCCACACATTTTTCATCCTATATCTGGGAGATCTCCACTGATAATTCGTTCAATACAAGAAGGGAGAACGACTTTTTAAGGCTGAGTCCTTAGCACAGCCGCCCCAGGTTCAAGTCCCAACTGGTTCCTATGCTGCTTGTTGGCCTCTCTCTCTACCATGCCTTTCCTTTTTCTCTCAACTGTCTCTATCCAAGTAAGTGGAAACGGCAAAAAATAATCTTTAAAAAGCTATTGGTAATGTACCTTACATATCTGGGCCTGCGGGTATGGTATTTTTGTGTTGCATATGTGGATAACCTGCCTGGCGTAAATGTGACATCATGTCCATATTTCTTGACCTACAGTTTTGTTTGACAGCTTTAGATGTTTAGGAAATGCTGAAATGTCAACGGTAAATGTCCATTGTCAGTTCCTCAAAATTTTAAATATTAAATATAAAAATACAAAAATAATTGAAAGAGCAAAGTGTTGTCTTTAGAGATGCAATGTTCACCAATCATACAGGACTACATTCTCATAGGCAGAGAGACTACACCATTAGAAGTGGATAATACATCAAAAGGTGAACAGTAATTTCTCTACCTGTATGATGATCAGCTGAAATAGAGCTGGGCTAGAAAATTTATTGTATCACAATATTATTAAGAATATTTGTTTGTAAATATAAGTTAATATATGTCATTATAAATTATTTACAATCACATAAAATAACGTTGATTAATTACAATGAACTATTTGTGATATTATGCATTATAAGAGACAACCAAAACTAAAGCAGCTAATTGTTTTAAAGTTTGCTTTGAGTCAGATGATACTTTTTTCCCCATTTTCTCTCCAAGAATTCTTGGAAATTTAGGAAATAACTATTTAAAGATTTATTACTATAACCTTTATTTCAAGGTGGAACAAGGGATGTCAATCAGAGGGAAAGTGAAAAAACGAAATGACAAAGTAGATTGAATTGGATTTCAAAAATGACTCAAGGTCCGCTTCTTTGTTCTCTAGAAAGAGCCACTAAACTACTGTTTCCAAGGTCAACTGTCAAGCTCAACTGAACGAGGTAACGTGGCCAAGAGGTCCTTAAAGTGCTCAGAAGAATGAAAAATATTTCAAACTTTTTAAATACACCATAAAATGAACTGTTCCTGTAAAGCTGAACTGAACCCAAAGTGGCTCCTTGAAAGCCAAAATTACCTCACTTTGTAGAAATTCCCCCTGAAGGACTTAAAGGCGTATTCCTGTGGAAACACAAGAACACACGAACAAACTCAGTTGCCAAACCGTTTGTGTACAAAAACAGGAGAGAGTCACAAGCAAACATTTAACAACCAATTTCCATCTTCACCTTCACTTAGATCTTATTAAGTGCGCACAGGCTTTGTTTTACAGTTCACACACACACACATGTGGTGTAAACCCTTGTGTGTGTGTGTGTGTGTGTGTGTGTGTGTGTGTGTGTGTGTGTCTCTCTTTAGTGAACATGATCCTATAACCTGTTAATAGCTTCCTGAAGGAGGGGCTTCCTGATGATATTGAGGAAGGAGCTCTTACAGCCGGAACTGTTGACTTGCCACCGGGCGAATGCATGCTCACAGTTTGCTGTTGAACTGTGTGTGTTTGTATTTATATATTTGTCCTTGAGTTTACAAGCTGTAAGTATTTGTGGAAGCAATGTTCTGATATCTGCCAGTGTTAGACAGCCATATATTGATTCATCAAGCTCATATTGACCCTTTATCAGATATCCGTTATCTGCGTGAAATAAACTTACAGCGAAGATGGGAATACATTTTTTAAGTTCACTTCACAACACAATAGAGGTAATTTGCAATTGTAGTCCTCACAGCATTAAAAACTTAACAGCTGCGTCTTTTTCCATAAACATTTTAAAATGGTTGCACATTATCCAGCATCATGTGCAACCATTTAAATTGGAAATGTCATTAGTGTGAACCAGCCCTTTAGCTGTTCCACAATGTTTAGGGTAGATTTAAAAGTTTCCCTGCAATTTAATAGATTGATAAGTCACCTTCTTTTAAAAAGCTGCTAATTCATGAAGAATTTTATTAGTCTGCGCTTCAGTAGAAAGTGTCAGTGTCCCCGGGGCTCTAGATGCTGTTTTAGAGGATTTCCCACCTACTACTACTCTTATACCAAAAATAAATATTTTTGCATTCAGAAGATAATAATTGGCCACAACCTTTCTATGTGTACCATTATTTTACCCACATGGTAAAGGTGTTGCCTCATAGCCGCCACTAGACGAAAGGTAAACATTATCTTTTATTCCCAACTGAATCAACACACCCTCTTATTTTCCTCCTCTTCCTCCTGTTCTCTTTTCTGCCACTTCCTGCCTGTCTGTGAAAAACAGGAGGATTATCTTTTCAGAAATTCCCCCTCAACCCCTTTCAGGGTATGAGGCGATAAACGGACACCAAGGACAAAGGAGGAGGGAGTGGAAAGAGAAAGACGAGGCGGAAGACAGTCAGAGGTGAAGAACACCCTGCACCCACACCTATTGAGTTCCAGTGACTTTCACTCTGAACTCAGAATATGGCCTTAACAATAATTGATTGTAGTTTGTCTAATGCGCACACCTTTTCACCCACAGCGACACCTGTGCAAATACAGTAGGTGCAGAAGGGGACAGGTAAACAGTGAAACCTGCACACTGTTTAACTACTGGCTCCTCTGTTTGTTTTTTATGTCCCTGGCCTGAAAAACGCCGCCTGTTTGCCAGAAGGGTTTAACAACCTGCTTCGGTGCCTCGCTCACAAAAAAACTAAACGGGTTTTAATTTTTACATGATTGGCAGTTTAAGTTCTTGCTGCTGATCTGGTCGAATGAAATCCCACACAGGAGACAAATATGCACAGGACAGGGCTTGTGGTGCAAATTGTAACAGTTAAAACACAGTATTTTATGTGATGTATCCGGAACTGACCTGCTGTGCAAAGAGAAACCTTGAGCAAATGGGTGATGTCCCACAGTGACCTGTGTGCATCATCCAAGTGCTTGTCACAAATCATTTAAATGTTGCCATCATGTACACTGGAAAATGTACCCTAAAACCTTAAACAGCTGTTGGTGATATGTCAAAACCCAATTTTGTGGTCTTCAGGAATAGCATTCTGGAAAATGTAAATTTAGAGCACAAAATAACTCTTGCAACTGTTAAGACATTCAGCTGCCACTAACTAACTTACTGCATAACCAGCATCACATGGTTGCTACAGCATTAAATAGGGTCAGGAAATTGTTAGCTAACTGACAGGTATGTGTTTTTCCATTCTCAGGCTGGTTTGTCCATTCTCACACTAACACAGATTCACACCTGGGAGCCGCTGAATCATTGACATTGTTTTGGCATGAAAATGTGACACCACAATACAGCACATCATCAGCTCAATACAAATAGCTTTTTAAATGTTGATGTATCATTATCAATATTATTATAATTCCACATTATTTATCAATAATATAAATACTAATTAATGTTGTCTTGATGAATTGAACAGTGGCGCCCAAACTTTTGTGCCTGTCACCGCTTAAAACAAAGCTATGTCTACGGGTTGTAGCTAGTTCCACCATATAGGGATTTAAATTCTTCTTTCATATCCTGTTTATTATCTTGTGACTCCTCAATTTTTCGTTGGTTGTGACTTTATTGGGAGTGCGAACCAGCGATCTACGGAAAACTGGTGACAGAAGTCTGCACATTAGGTTCATGTCCTACAGTT